TCTTTCTTTCTTTCTTTCTTTCTTTCTTTCTTTCTTTCTTTCTTTCTTTCTTTCTTTCTTTCTTTTCTTTTCTTTTCTTTTCTTTTCTTTTCTTTTTCTTCCTTTTCCAACTCCGTTAATCTGTTTTATGTATGTGAGTATTAGGAACAATTGTTCTCAACCTTGGGTCCCCAGATGTTCTTGGACTAAAACTCCCAGAAGTCTTCACTGCTGGCTATTCTCGCCCAAATCTCTGGGAGTTATAGTCCAAAAAAATCGGGGGACCCAAAGATGGGAAGCACTGTACTGGAGGATCTGTAAAGACAGGGTTGGTCAGCCTGTATAGTATCTTTTCTCCCCTCGACACTGTGAATGTTCTCCAGTTCATTGAGAAGGGGTCTTTCTTTGCGAGGGACTTCCAAGCCATAGATATAAGCTAGATTTGTGGAGCTCCTTATAGTACACTGCCAACTTTGTGAAGCGAAGTTTATAATTTGATCTTTATTGGATATAACTTTCAGAATTCAACTTCAGCATTCTTCCCTCCCTAAAGTTCTGCAAAATGGCTTTTATAAAGAGAGTTTATTTGGAATCTGTTTGTGTTCTCAAGTCTTTTAGTAAAACAGTACAGCTTTTGGAACAGAGCAAGTAGTTTTGTGTGCAGCATTCTTAGCTACGGCTTTTTCTTCCCTTCTAATTAAAGAAATTGAAGACACATTTTATTTCATGACTGCTTTGTACAGAAATTCCGGCATTAAACTTTGTGTGGTTATACTTACTGGGAGTTGGTGTTGTTACATTCCATCAAGTCACTTCCCACTTATGATGACTCCGTGAACTACCTCTTGCTTTGTTCTCCCCAATCTTCTTTTAAAAGTCTATCTTCTCCGTGTGTCATGATTAGTGGTGCTTTTTTTTTCCTAGATTGACACTATATTGACTTCGGCACTATGTGATATTCTTAATTTAACAACCATTTTAAATTAAGCATATTAAACATAAAGAGTGTCTGCAGGCAACCTCTGCCAAACGTCGTTCCCCCGTGCACCTTTGTGAGTGTCCGGGAAACCTCACAACTTGCAAAGATAGTGTGCTTTTCAGAGGGGGGGGGCAAGCAACTTTGGAACTGCATGGAGGTAAGAGGGTTGCTCTACCTCCTGCTCTTTTGACTGCTCCCAGCCCCATAATTCAGCCTGAGAGTGTGTGCGTCTGGCTGAATTGTGGGACTGAAAGTTGTTGTTCCCCCCAAAGTCCCATCCATAGTAGTGTTAGTGATTATGATGTTGATGATGACAATATGCTTATCAGCGAGCCAGAATTCACAAACAGTACCAACTGTGGGTATTTTCTCTATGTTAATTTTAGTTCTTTCACTTTGGAAATAAAGTCCACAATTTCATTTGAATGTAGTTGCCATATTCATCATGCCCTTAATCACTCAGTGGCTTAATCATTTTTCATCACATTGTTGTCCACTCACAAACAGCTCTATTTTTTTTCAGAGTATTTAGCAGTCTGGAAATCGTTTAGATGTTCATGATGTACACTGGCTCCGAAGCGTAGCATATTAATAAACTTCTGCTACACCAGATTTTTAAAAAACAAAAGCCAACTGTTCTGTAGCTTTTAACTGTGATCTGGAAAGGAGCATGTATAACCAAGTTTTCCCCTTACTATAGAACCATAAAACACATGTTCTGGTTTATTTTTTTAATAAACTTTCCTAATTAGATTAAGTGCACCAGAGATCACGGTGAAATGAGTGCATGTCAGAAGTATATTGGTACAAGGATTAAACCTCAGAACTTTTCCCTTCTTTCTCCTTCATCCATCTATTTAAGAAACAGATTGCTTGGAGTTGGGGGTTGGAGAAATGAAGTACTGTATCTTGCAAATAGCAGACCAAAGAATTAAAGAACATTATAATACATCTATTTGTCTGCATAAAGGCCATCCAAAATCTACAGACTTCATCTTGTTTGTTAGAAGTTCACAAAATAGCCTTATGGTTCATTTTCATAAGGCTGTCTTGAAGAATTGTTGGCCTAAATCCAACATTCAACCCCAAGTAAAGGTAAAGATTTTGCTTGACTTTTAGTCCAGTCATGTCTGACTCTAGAGCACGGTGCTCATCCTTGTCTCCAAGCCATAGAGCCAGCGTTTGTCCATAGACCATTCCCGTTGTCACGTGGCAAGCACAAGTAGACATGGAACGCCATGACCTTCCCACCATTGTGGGCCCTATTTATTGACTCGCATCTTTACATGCTTTCGAACTGTTCGGTTGGCAGGAGCTGGGACAAGCGACGGGAACTCACTCCGTCGCGTGGATTCGATCTTACGACTGCTGGTCTTCTGACCTTGCAGCACAGAGGCTTCTGCGATTTAACCTGCAGCGCCACCATGTCCCTTCTTAGGCCACCTTGCCTGCACACTACTAAATACTGGCATCAATCCCAGTAATTTTATGGCTTTTCCAAACTATGGTGCTGTCCTCAGTTGATCTGGGGTTTTTTACTACAGACTTGCATAGATCACCCCAGTATTGGGATCCACACATGCGGAGATATTTGTAGTTGGATGTAATGGGATGCACTTGGTTCTCCTGGTTTTGCATGTCCACACACATCTGGATTTTTCCCCTCTCACTTCCAGAACAGATTGCTGTTCTTCTCTGCCTTCTCCCTGCCAACTTCACACTTTTCCCCTTTCCTCCTTATTATACCCACTTTCCATTCTCAAAGTTTCAATTTTTACTGCAATGCTTTCTAATTTTACTTTTAACTTTTAGTTGTTACTTGTGTGCTAAGGTGCAAAAGTGATAATATTTTTAAAAAGGCCAGAATGCAGAAATAGCTGGTATCTTCTCTATCCTTTCTCCACCTGCTTTACTCTTCCCTGTGTTCCTTCCTTCTTTTATTCATCCATAGTTATCAAACCTTCACCCGCCTGAAATGCCTTTTAATTTAATTTAATGTTTTCATTCCAGTTTTTTAGCTTTTGTTCTTTCTGTTTTGTACTACAGTATGGTGCAAAAAATATAAAAAAATTAAGAACATTAAAAAACAGAACAAGGGAACAGCTAGTATACAAAGACAACTAACTGGAAGTGGCAGTAAGGCATGGAGGGAAAGAGATCAGTAGGAAAAAAAACACATATGGAAATGTCATTAAATGATGCACACCCAAAACATGCATGGATTAGGACATCTCAACACAATACGGGGGTCCACACAAGTAGATAGGTCTTGTCCTACTTTGACTCTGTTAACACTTGTTTCAACCTTGTGTTGTGCGGAAACTAGGATGCAGTCCTGGTATGATGGATGCAAGGAAAGCTTAGTACCGTAAATACTCTGTGCGGATGGGATCTAGAGAAGCCGCACTGCTGTTGCCGTCCTTTTTTTCTTTGACTCTCTTTTATACACAAAAGAAAACGCTGAGGGAGGAGGAGAAGGAATGAGCAGCGTATTGGAGGTGTACTTATTTATTTTATTGAACAAACACATGTGCTCTCTTTCAGAGCAAAGCGTTAAAAAGAAACTTAGAAACGCAATGTCAGTATAAAACAGATTTTACAAAAGAAGCAAAACAAGGCCGTTACAGAACAAAAAACAGCTCTTCAAAAGCCAAGCACACTTTTAGTAAAGCACAGACCGAAACATACCGTACTTTGCACATAGCTTTGAAACCTGACAGGAGAACTGAAATGTAGCAAAGATGATTCTGTATGTACTTACAGTACTTGGGAAGAAAGTTTCAGAGGCCTAAGGCCACTATTGAAAAGGACCTATTGCAGGTACCTATCAGTATGACAGATTTTGATGGTGGTCTAGTGAAAAAAGAATTACTGTATGTTCGAAACAAGTGCTTGCTGTATACATCACCTATAAATTATCTGGGACAGAGGCCTAGCACCCTGCTGTTTGTGCTTACTGCCAAGTGCACCCACCTACACATTCACTGAAAATCCTTTCTTCACTTATTAAAGGCAAGGAGTCCCAGTGATTGCTATAAATACAGAACAGATGCCCTATGAAGAGGAATATAGGCTGTCACTCAAGGTTACCAGATGATGTGACATAGTGTTGGAATGCAGGATTGAGACTTTCAAGATTGGCAAATTCAGATTCTAGTCCCCACCATGTTATAAAATGCACTGGGTATTTATTTTATTTTTTTTATATCTTGCCCATCTCGTGTTGAGCCTTAAGTCAGTCATGTTGACCAAAATCATGCTGGTATCACACAGAACAAATACAGGGTCCTGTTGAGCCTTAGGTCAATCATGTTGAACAGAATCCTGCTGGTATCACACAGAACAAATACAGGGTGTAATAAATTGAGTGTGTACAACTGGGGGGAGGGGTGTATATGATGCCACTGTCTGTCTGTTGTGGACTTAGACATGTACCAGTTGTGCAACTGGTTACACGTTGGATTGCGTTCCTGAGCGTGTGAGAGCCAGCCAACAAAATTCAAAAGCGACTCGTTCGATCGTTCCTCTGCGGCTAGCATTTTGCAACTGGATCTTGGCTGGTGTTTCTCAACCTCCTGTCCCTCGCTGGGTGATTGGGGACATAACATAGGTAGGGGAAAAAAAGCTACATGCGCCATCTTGAGCGCATGAATGAAACGACAAGACTGCGAATATTACTACTAAATAAATAATAAGATTTAATTGCAGCTAAAAGACCGGTTTACAATCTCGTAGCCCGGAAGGTCACTTCAACCTGCTTCCCTCATTCACCCTAAATTGTTTCTTTCCAGTTCTTTTCTTTTTTAAAAAAAAAAAGAAACCCTGCCTTTCCTTTTAAGGGAGGTTATTCCCATAGGCTGAAAGGCCACGTCCTCCATCCAAAGAGAGCATGGGGGGCAGCTTTAATAAGGCCTCGCAGTTCGTCTCTTTTATTGGATTAGGAGTCTGGTTGCGCTTGGAGGCGTTACTTGACAATGGTGCCGTCATGGTGACGTTTAGCGCTCTGATAGGCTACGAGAAGATAAGGGCGACCGTTGGCCTCGCGAGATGCTTCTTCCCGTTGGTTGAGAGTCCTATCGCTTGTGCAGAGGGGTGGGCGTATAGGCACGGGTCCCGCTCTTTGATAGGCTGTTGGCGGGATCGCCCTGCTCAGTTTGGACTATACGATGGGCGGCAGGTGAAGGAGTGGGGAGGGGGGCATGGCCATGGCGGGAGGAACGAAAACGGCCGTGGAGAGGTATCCGTTGAGCCGCCTGTTGATCGGGCCCGCACTTCTCCTCATGGCACTGGGCGGCTCAGGTAAGGTGTGGCGGTGGCAGCGGTGGCACCAGGGTTGCCAGCTTTTCCACCGGCACCTGTTCCTCTCCCATTTTCCCAAAAAAGGGAATCTTCGATTCGTTGCAACGGAAACCGCAAAGATCTTAAGGCGCCTTAAGAAATGTTATATAACGAACGCGTTAGGCTTTAAGTTGTCACAGGGCTCTTCGTCTTTCTTCCCAGATGCCGGGGAAGGGGACCAGGAGGCAGGTATCTGGTTGTCTCGTGTGCTCCCAGAGGCCTCTGGTGGAGCCACTGGGAGATACAAGGAGCTAAACTAGATGAGCCCCTGGCCTGATCCAGCAGGGCTCTTCTTATGTTCTTACGTTATCTGCCTAAATTCATTAGGTTCGTCATGCATGTCACACAGCCTATGTTCGGCAAGGCTCCGTATTCATCATCATATGGAATATTACTGTGTGAATCTTAAAAACAAAGAATGTCGCCCTGTTTGTTATTATTCCAAAGATTAAAAAAGAATCAGTGGGGAATGTCAGAAAACTTTGTGCTGTGAGTGTCTGGCTTTGGACTCTTATATGCTGGACAAAAAAATGAGGTTGGAAATAGAGATACTGTACTGTATTCACAGGAAAAGATGCTTGAAATAGGGATCATGTTTAGACTTTTACTGTGGTGTTTCTGGGATTTCTGAGATCTGAAGAGACCCAACTGCAATCTGTTATAAAAGTCACCACTCTCCCAAATTCTAAACTTTTCAGGGCAATTCCACCTCTGTTTACATGAAAGTAAGCCCCTCTGTGTTTCATAATGCTTAATCCCAACACTGTTTTTTTTTTTAAGAAATTGGGCTAAATTTTGAGTTTAAACAATTGAGACCAATTCCATAGTTCTCATCCTCAACTGAAATGAAAGCTTTGCATATTCATTTCTTGTTATCATTGTTCTGTCTTAAGTGAGTATGCCAGTGCAGAAATAGGTATTATATATTGTTACGTGTCATATAATGTGAAAGTGCTATAGTGTAAATCCATATTTTGTGATGGGCCATGGAAAACTGTCTACCCAAGTAGTTTGTTGATATAACAAATCTCTACAGCAGGCCATTTGGCTGATATATTTTTGAATTTGGCTTATTGTCTCAAAAAAGCAGCCTAACTAATTGTTTTGACATAATTTGCTATAATAGGCTTCAAGTTGCTTTTAACTCATGGCAAACCTAGCAGAGTTTTCAAAGATGCTCAAGGTGTGATTTACTATTGCTACTCCAAGTGAGATTCCGTGGCTGAGCATGAACTTGAAGTGAGGTCTCCCGAGTCCTATTTTGACCCTCAATTGATTACACCATATTTGCTCTTTTTGATATAGTAGCCTGCTAGAAATGATTAACACACCTGAAGGTCAAGCTTCCCTTTCCTCCAACACACAAGTTAACTTATGTTATACAAATAACATACCGTAACATTAATAGCTGCTTGGTGCAGTGTACTTGGTTTATAAAGCTGTTTATATCCAAAAGCAATAGAGTGCTTTTTATATATGTCTGCATGGCCTTGCAAAGATAAAAAGCCAGTGAAAGCTTAGGATTCACTTTCAGATGAAATTAAACATTTTAAGACAGAAATTTATCTTTGTGGCATACATTGCACACAACTGTTTATACTATGGCATAATCGCCAGTCCTGTAGTCTAAAATGGTGCAGACATCAGGGTATGTTTTCCTGAGATTAGTGGCAACATGTTAATCTCGATCCCCTATTTATGTAAATCGGTCTACTCCATTCCATTCAAGAGCAGTTCTGGGCTCAGATACAGTTTTTGCTAACACATCTAACCATTAGATCATAATGTAGTCTTTTTTCTTTGCTTCAATTCTGAAGATGGAGAGGTGGTTCCACTTAGAGATAACATGCTGTACACAAAGAATTACTCTGAGCAGTTCTGCTACACAAACAAAGTGGTCCCCAAATGGTATGATATATGGACTAGGATCCAGGTAAGAACTATAGTCTTAGTTGTTACTGAAAGCTGATTTGAAACTTCACTGAACCAGTCTGTGCATTTGTTCAGAAAATAAAACAGAATTAATCCTAGATTTTGTAAATCTCTGCTAAGTATCTACATACAGCCTTTATTTTAAAAACACAAACACAAACCCAGTCATGTTATGAAAAATTTCCCAGCATTCTTCCTAGCTGGAAATATGTTAGGGAAAGGTATGGTCCTGTAATGATGTTATCATAGCTTAGACTTGCTCCTCTGTGTTATTCAGTGGCCAGTCTTGCATGCAGTTGAAGTCACCCCTTGTCTTATTTTCACCAACACATTCAGGTTGCTCTGAATACAGGCTTACAGAGGATTTGGGGAGGGAGCCTCTATCCAATGGAATGACATACTGAAGAATCCTAATAGTAACATGTAAACAAACAACATGGTCAAATAAAAATGCATCCAGATAAAAACAGTACAAAAAAGTACATCCATCTGAAGGGGATGAACAGTGTGGATCAGATTAAACTTGCTTGAACAGCACATTGGAGAAGACGTTCAGCCCACTCACGACATGTGTCTCTGATAATGGCAGGACAGAGTGAAGGGCGTCACCTGGGCAAGCTTATATGGAGCAATGTAGTATTTAAAATAATTGAGTCCCAAGTTGTATAAAGATTTATAGGTCAAAGCCACTGCACTGAATTACACCTGGAAAGGGACCAGTATCCAAAAATGGCCCTTGTCTAACAATTGAGTTGTGTGTTTTTCGTAATGAGTTCTGGCCAATTGTCTGGCTTCAGCCTTCTGAACCAGCTAGTGCTTTCAAGTACTTTTGAAAGATGGTACACAATGTGTGTTGCATCCTGCCTGATCTAACTGGACATTTCTGGGCACTGATGGACCATTAGCCATATTTGTGCAGGTTGCATTCACAGGAGCAATAGTTGAACTGAAAAAAATGTCACTGTTTTTACCATGAGGGATGAAAAAGGGGTGGGGATTCAGAATCACAAAGCTATTTCTCATAGCCCCGATTATGGTGCATCATAGCTGCTGATCTTTAAAAGGTATCGAGCCTATACCTAAACTATTTGTAGTTTGCGCAACTACAGTAGTTATTCACATGCAATATGTTTGTCCTTAACCTGCAACATAACTGTCTTTTCTTTTAGTACTCTTCTAGCATTATCTAAATTTAGCATTGTCAATGGAGCACAGCTGAGTTAATCTTGCTGAGTAGCTGCCTTTTTTAGCTGTGGGAGGGAATTAAGTAGAAGACAGTGAAATGATTAAAACAGTAAGGCGTTTAAAAAGGTATTCTAGCAGGAGAAAATTTGTGATGCTGTAGCCACCACCCAAGAGCTGCCTACAACACTAGAACAACTGAGAAATCACACCTGATGTGATTGTAGTTATAGCAAGTCTGCATAACATTTGGGATGCTGTGAAGCAACAGGCAAAGCCCTGTTGCCTAAATTTATACCAGTGTAAATTGGATCCGGCACGGGAAATTATTGCTTGAAACTAATTAAAGTTTTTTATCCCTCCCTCTCCTTTTAGGTTTGAAGCTCATGGCTTTCCCCTTTTTCCTGGAGGACTCTTTCGGGCCTCAGGATGGTGGGAGGAGTCATTCATAATAAAAAAAATCACCACTGGATCATCATGCTAGGATTGGGACCACCAGTGGCAGCTTTTTTTTAATTATTATTTAAAGTTTCTCTTCATCAGTTTGTCCTTCCCTGTCCCTCTTGAGTCATAATGTCCAGAAAGGCCCTCAGTCTGCTAAATGCTTCTTATCTCTTATACAGTAAAGGAAATTGTTATCCTGTTCAGTTAACTACACAGCGAAGTTCTACATGACTTTTGGATTTAAATATATGGCCCTACTTTAAAATAGAGTGTCTATCTTCTCTTTCTGCGTGCTGTCCTGATCTTTCTTCTCTTTCCTTATTTCTTGGATGAATGTATGTTGATTATTCCGGTGTCTTCTAGGCTCCTTACCAGGCCTTTTCAAACCTCATTGCAAGTTCATTGCTACTCTTTCTAAAACCTCTTCATCATCTTCTAGTACATTCCCCTAAACCTGACTAATATATCTTTTAAACTGGGTGATCCCTAACAGTACTCAATTTTTGTTGGCTGAATCAAATGCCTTTTGAATGGTGATTTTCTGCAACATCTGCATCACATGGTGTCCTTTTCTCCTGCAGATCCGAGTAAACAGCACCAAGATGATCCGGGTCATCCAAGTTGAAAATGAAGAGAAGCTCAAAGAATTGGAAGGGTTTAACATATGGAGTTATCTTGGCTCATTCTTCAAAGAGAAACTCAATGACACTTACATTATGATAGGCATCTACAGTCATAAAACCTGTCTGAAAGTTGACCCCCTTGAATCAGGCTCCGATTATTCAGTCATCATTGTTCGTAGTAAGTGACATTATACCTTGCAACCTGCATATTGTGGAAGTAAAGCTATGAGTCCACAAGTACTACAAATGTACTAGATTGGGATGGGGAAATGGTCACCTTCCAGATCTTGCACAGGCATTCTCAGCACTTCTCATCATTGGTTGCTCTGCCTAAACCAGTGGAAGTTGCCCATGGCTCTACTAGATTAATCTTGTTACTTTATCATGTAACTGGTAGCTTTTTTGATTATAGGTGAAGTGGACAACTGGGTCACCAGATATTTCTGATGATTCTTCAGCCTTAGCTTACCACTGGTGAGGGATTATGGCAATTACAGCTGAGAAACATCTGGAGTGGAAAAGTGCTCATCCTCTACATAGGATTAGTTCAATACAGCTCACTGAAAGGGAACTCTTTTTGTTTGTTTTCTAGCATTTGATCCCAAGCTATTTGTGGTTACATTTCTGGGTCTTCTGCTGTTTTTCTGTAGCGACTTGATGAGCAGGTGAGCATTACCACAGATTATGGAAATGGGTGTTGTGTACTTCAGCATGGTTACTCTTGTTAAGAAGCCAGGTGTATAGCTTACAATCTGCTTGAATTATGATAGCCAGCCCACTGAATTTTCCTGTTTTGAACAATGGAAATAGGAACATATTGCTAAGATCAAGACTTGTCCGATGCCTGTGGACTATTGTATATGCCATGTCTTGGTACTCAAAAAATTTCAAGGTGAACAGACAATGGACTTGCTGCCACTAGTGTGATTGTGCTCCTTTTTTGGATCATTTTTCATAGGCTTGGCAGCAAGTAACACTTATATGTTGTGGATTTATAAAACTCCCTATAAATGAAGGCACAAATCTGGGCATTTCTAGTAAGATAATGGAATGATGACTTTGCTTTTCTCACTCTTCTTGCTGGCATTCTTGCTAAAGAAGATCATTTTCTCAGAATTGTTAAGCGCTCATCATTGACAACCATATTTTTTAGCTTGGGAAATGCCTCTCTCTTCAGATTGAGGAGGAATTAATCCTTCACATTCCACTGGGCATTGGTGGTACTTTGGAGTATCAGCTCTTGCTGTTTGCATGTACCTCCGTTCTGCAGTACAGTGTTTTGCCAGTGAGAAAGGAAATCTGGGAAGTTCTTCCTGCTTGCTAAGCTATCTCTCTTGTAAACTGCTGCAAGTTGTATATCTTCATAGTGATGCTTCATCGTCGCCCAGCAGTTAGGCTTTGGTTTTCTGTTTCCAGCTGCATGAGGTTCAAAAGGGGATACACTGCTGCAATAGCTCACAAAATGCCACCCTTTGCATGACTAAAATGTATCTTAAAAAGTTGGCCAATCCTGGTCAAACAGACTGAATTGGCTCAGAAAACTCCACAGGTTTAACTTTCAGGTAAAAATAATTTTAAATGAAAACAGTAAAAATCAAGCTTTCGACAAGGAGAATATGTCCTTCGTCTTTAGGATTACAAACTGCATACTAACTACATTGCATATGGTGATATGTGCACTCAAAATGTGTCTGCTCATCTTCTGTGGGAACATGACTTGTGGCTCCCCGTTTAAAGGGTCACTGGTGTTCCTTCCTGCTGCTCCAACATGCTTCCTCCTACTGAACAAGCTTAGTTTGTTCATCCTTCCTAATAGCAATCTCTGCATCTCCATAGCAAGAAGAATATCAACCACAAATTTTGGCTAACTACCAAGCCCACCAATAGTTCTGGTCTTCTATAAGCACTGCTTGGCACTTGTGCATTCTAGCCACCTTTCCCGGTACTTACAGCATATGTTGACAATTTGCCGCTTCTCTTGAGTTATATGATAGTGTAGAAGGCATTGCGGCTGACATAATTGTTGTCTTTGCAGAAGTCAAGTTTTCTTCTATTCAGCTGGAGTAAGCATTGGCGTACTAAGCTCACTTCTCATTGTCATCTATATAATGTCCAGAATGGTACCTAAGGTAAGTTAATGGATCATGCTATTGGTGGAACCTCCAACAGAAACAAGAAATTAACTCAGTTCAAGTCTGTGACCCCAACTTTCAAATGCCTCTTCCAGACCATTTACGTTTTGATCTTGAGAACACTTAAGTCATGCTGCTAACCCAGATATCTTGGTTATAAAAAACAGAAACCTAAACAACTGAGCTGTTCAGCCCACTCTCATGTTGAAAATGACTTTAATATGTCATTAATGTGCTTTAAAAAGTTTTTAAATCCTTCTGGAAACGTGAAAAAAGTTGAATTGTTGCTTTTGGCCTAGCATATACATATAATTTAGTTGGGTTGGGTTAATGACCTGTGGCATCATGTACATCCTCCCCCATTACCTTTTCAACGTGAAAACGGTATTGTAAAAGACCTAATTCTGATAAATAAGTGACGTGGTAAACCTATTATCTGGTTTGTATCACTACAGGTGCAACTGGCACGTTTTTCTGTACATTAAAAAAAAGCCCCTGCACATAGCATAGTGGATTTTGGATATAAAAGCCCCAACATAGAACATTCCTTGACATATTAGCTATGTTAGGGACTATTCTGTCATATTATTCCCCATCTATATCTTGAAATAGTATAGTTTAAGTCACAGATGCGTCCAGGGTGAAATTCTGCCTCTCCAAACATGCTAAGGACTGCTCATTTCTCTGAAATTTCTGTGGTAGTGTCAGAAACTAATGGGAGTATGCAAGAGTTACTCTAAAACAATGCCCTTGTGGTATCAACATTTTATTTATGTCAATAACATCTCTCTTGTACACCTCCTGGAAGCACCATTAACCTTATATATAAGATGCGGAGACATTGCTTCTGATCATTGTCGCACTTCTCTGAGAATGCACTGAATGAGTAAAAATACACACACATACCTGAGTCAGGTTTGGTCTCCATTGCAAAAAGGGAAAGGGGGCAGATAAACAAAAAAGAAAGGTCCCCATGTAGTTGCCTATCTTAATGTAGTCACTGGTTTGCCACTTCATTTGCTATTATGAGAATTAGGCCTTCAGTGGCCTACTGAATGATTCATATTCATCTTTAACAGGAGTTTGCAAATTCCCAAAGCATTTGGGCTGGCAGGACTAGCTAATAAGCGAGAGGCGTGGAGCCTACAGTACGGAACAGGCTAGCAGCAGCATGTAACTTGAAGGCCAGTTGAATTGTTTGCCCTATGAAGAATTCCAAAATTACTTTTTCCGAAGATACAATTGTTGCTTCTTTTTGTCCCATAGAAAAGTCCTATCTACCTTGTGCTTGTGGGAGGCTGGTCTTTTTCCGTTTACCTTATGCAGCTGGTCTTCAGAAACCTGCAAGAGATCTGCAGATTATACTGGGAATATCTTCTGGGTGAGTACCTATCGTGCCTTGCCCTGATAGGTACGGTTCAAAGCATGAACCTCAGGCTGTTCTTGCATTTTTGTAAGCAAACCGTAGCTTTTATCTGCCCACTTCTAATTAGTGAGTCTCAAAAAAGGGGGAAGAAATGTTGAGCAAATCCTTTGCAATGTAGGATTTGGAGCGGTTCAAATGGAAGTATAGAAAAATCTGTTACCAGAGTTGGGACATTTTGATTCAGGGGATGGGAGCTGCAGAGGAAGTCACCGCATCAGCTGTGCTGAATGATATCCCACATGTCTTTAAAGTGAGATGATGAGGTTTTGTGAGTATCTCCTTCAGTGCTGTGAGTTGGAAGGGCATTGTGAGCAAAGAAAACCTTTTTGTGTTTTAATGGCTCTGCTGGAAAAGGAGAAGTGTGGTGACATCCTTTTAAAATCAGCATCCTGTCCTCTTAACAAAGCATGGAAATTTTATTTCTGAGGATGAGATCTCTCAAAATCTCTGAGCCAGGATGGTTAGTGCGGGCTTTGGAATTCTGGGAGTTGTTATTCAAAAGACTAACTTTTCCAGGCTCTGCTATTTGCTGTGTTAAAAGACATGAGTTTTGCCATTTGTTGCCTTCTGGATTGTGCACTTAGCAGTGTGCTTTAATCCTTCTGATCTTTTAACAAGTCAATGGCTTCCTCCTGGTTGGTTTATTGAAGCATATCACTGTGTGCAGAGGTACTGTATTAATTCCTTTATCAGCTCACTCAGGATCTTTTAGGCTCCAGGTGAAAGCATTCTTCGGAGTACTTGTTCATGTTCTTTTCTTTTTCCCCTCATAGGGTACCTGGTCATTGTGGGTTGTATCAGCTTTGCTGTGTGTTACAAATATGGACCTTTGGTGAATGAACGCAGCATCAATCTCGTTACTTGGGGCCTGCAGATTCTTGGCTTGCTGCTCCTCTACTTAGGCATCCAGATCCGACAGATCGCCATCGCCTTGATTATAATTGCAATCTGCACTAAAAACTTGGAATACCCTGTCATATGGGCCTATGCCATCTACAGGTGATGGATGGGAAACACGGGTGTTATTCCTCCTAGAAGGCACAATCCAAGAATGGCTTTTGTAATAGATTAGAAGGAGGACACATATCTTTCTCTGTGTGTGTTTGTGTGTGTGTGTACACACACACACTCATAGTATAGTGAGGTTCTTTTTTGATGTGGTTCTTAGCAATGTTTAGGAAAACTCAGATTTCCTATGGAGAGATCACTCACTGTATTGCTCAGTTCTGCCTGAGTCTGCCATTGCAGTCTGTCTGTCGGTCCTCTGGAGGTGAACGTATGCTTGTGTAGGTAAGAGAATGTGGCATTATGCTCTGCACTGCACAAATGAAAAGGGAAACCAGAGATGGAACTGACTGCTTCTAGGGACCGATTGTCAAGCTGATGGGAAAACTTAATTTCTCCATCTGTTCTCAGCAAAGTCTGGACACTTGTACAGAATGAGGTGGTGGTTGTTTCAAATTTACAGCCCACCCAGCATTCTGAGCCACTATACAGAGATGATGTAAAGAGAGAGGTCAAGTATTGACACTTCCTTATAGGTAGGAAAAAGGAAGGGAGTGGACAGAAGGAAAGAGACAAAATTAGGTATCAGTTCTTATGTTTACCAAACGTTATGCCCGTTTTCCTCTCACGACCAGTTGGAAGGCCCTCTCAGGAAATGGTTTTGAACACAGATGAGCCAACTTACATTTGATCCCTGATGGTCCAGTGGAGTGGATCTCAGCACCTTTCTTCTTTCTCTAGTTGGGAGAATCACTGCTAATTGACAGAGGTTGTCTAATCACTTGAATGCTAAGATATTAGTTGTGTATTTCCTAAATATGGTTTTCTGTCCAGTTTTACGTTAGGGAAGCTAGTGGACTTGTTCTGAATGTGGTTGAATGTAAAATGTGGACAAATGGCTATTTTATTGGCACTTTTATTCATTTGGGATTCAAGCTGTCAGATGAAAATGTATTGTTAAATTACCTCTGCAAAACAATTTACAAGATCAATTGGAAATGTTCTAGAGGGCCTTTTGGAATAACACTCGGGAGGGCTTTACCCAAGTACGTATATTGAAGATGACTTTCTCCAACCTGGTCTCTGCCAGATTTGGTAGTGGTGGGTGATTCCCCTCAGCATCAGACAAACATGGTCATCTGTTACACCGTTGGTAGCAAGGTATTTTGAAAATGTGGTAAGATGCAAGCCTTCAGATTTCTCTGAGGCTTCAGTCATGTCTCCCTTATACCTTAAAGCAGGGATTCCCAAAGTGTGCATTGTAGCTCCCTTTGGCATTCCACTGCTCCCTTGTCTGCTGCCAAGTCTGCCAGGAACAATATGGAAGCTTCTCTTTGTTTTTTCACTCCGGCGGCAGTGGTGCTTTTCTGGCTCCTTTGGGCTTCTTGGCTTTCTGCTCCACCCCTCCCCCCCCTTGCCATTCCTCCTGTTCTGCTACTGCTGTCACTGCTTAGAGCAGCTGTGAGTCCAAAAAGTTTGGGAAGCACTGCCTTAAAGCATGACTGTGCACTTGGTCTCTCTTGAGATTTAATGTTGCATAAATCTGAGGCGTATTGAACCTAGTATACGCAACATTGGGGATAGGTGAGAGGTGCCTCCCCCGATTTTTAATTTTTTATTTTAAGGGGAAACTCGGAGTCTCCATGTGCCCTCAGTGGGGTGGAGGGGATAATTTTGCCATGGTTTGAGGAGTTCCCCACAGCATTTATGGTGCCCTATTTCCCCAAATGTAGTCATTAAAAACTGGAGGGCACAATGGGAGATTTTCTGTGACAAAACCTCAGTTTGTCCAGTATGAGTGTCTTGGTTGAGAAGAAACTTTAAGGTGGTCTAGCAAGAATGGCAGGATAGATCTTCTCCCCTGAATGCATGGCCTTCCTTCTCAAGACTATTTAGGACTTGTTTTGCCTTGAAGTTAACATGAATGAATAAAGAGTCTGGCTGGGAAAGAGTCTGTCCAGATCTTGTGTCCTGAGCTACTCAAGAATTGTGACAAGGAGCCAGACTTTGGTCAGAGTTCAGACTTACAGCTACTGCTAATGTCATTGCTATCCTAGCAGGAAGGTGCTCACAGCCACAGCAAAGCCGAGCCCGCCTCGTCTCTTAACTGAAGAGGAGTTCCGGATACAGGGAGAGATAGAGACTCGCAGAGCCCTGGAGGAGTTGCGGGAGTACTGCACGAGCCCAGACTTCTCTGCATGGAAGGCAGTCTCCCGCATCCAGTCTCCAAAGAGGTACTGGACAAGCAGATGAGTGGGATGGCTGGGGTGAGCGGCATCGGATATTGAGAACTTTTTATAATGTAGGGCTGATAAGGAGGACACCTAACTTACAGGCTTGGCTGTGGAAGGACTTGTGTTTGTAGATAATTCTGAAAGAGGAACTGAAATTCAGGATTGGAGCTAGTTTCTTCTTTGCTAGCTCAGTGTGCCAAGAAAGTACTGAGTCGGCATTATTTGTTATATGGAGGTTAAATGTAGTGGGGTATTTGCTTGCTCTGTATGTAATCTGGATTTCATCTTATTTTATTGGCATATATTTCAGAACATATGCCAATTTACCTGTATGGTAAAGCTAAGTAACTCAACAGCCTAGAGCAGAATCCACACCTCGAGAGTTCCCCAGATAGCTATGCAGCCTTTCCTATGATACCATTATCTGGTGATTTCCAGCTTTTACACAGGGTTTGCTCCATTAAGAAAGCTGAACTGCCTCTCCCATGACTTTGCTACTGGCACTATAATGTTAAGCTAGAATTTGCTGAATTATTTTTGTCACTTGCTTTTGATGTTGCCCCTAGTGGAATGTGATTCCCAACAGTGGCCAAAATCCTGATGCTTAGTGCAATAAATTGCACTAGACATATTGAATTAATAGGGATTTGGTGAATAAACTCTTCCAATAGTGCCATTCATTCAAATGACCCTGCTCTAACTGCATCTTACAGTGCTAAAGTAAGGCACGGCTACAGTAGGCTCATTTGAATCAATGGATTGATTATATGAGAGTAGTCACCAAATCCCCATTGATTCAGTGGGCTACTCTCATATGATTTACTACACTAAGCCATAGGATTTTGGCCAATGTATTTGAAATTGAATTTGGCCCTTGGCTGAACCAGGCCCCACATTGCTTACAGGAAGAATTTAATTAGCTGTCAGGTCTTAGCCAGTTGCTGTCATATCCTCACTGCTCTCTGTCTTTTCTCCAGATTTGCTGACTTTATAGAAGGTGCCTCCCATGTGAACCCCAATGAGGTCTCTGTCCATGAACAAGAATATGGGCTGGGGGGTTCGTTTCTGGAGGATCAGCTCTTTGAAGAGGAGATAGAAGAGGAGGGTGAGGAGAAAGACTACAGCTTTCAGGAGGACATAGACATTTCATGGCCCCAGAATCACCTGGGGTTCCAGGACAGAATTGGCTAGTGTTCATGATAATGGAGTGACTGGTGCTCCCTGTTCTCTTGGGGTGAGAGATGCAGCTTTGTTGTCCTCTATGGAGCATATATACACAAACCTACTATGTATGGTATACACATGACAAGGTGTGTCCTCTTGGCAGACTCTGGAAAGAGGTGTGTGTAGTGCAACATGCCATTAAAGTCCTGCTGTCCATCTCAGGTAACAAATTGAATGTGAACTAAACAGCATGTCAGATATGCCAAAGTGTCCTGTTGGCTGTGTGGGTTATGAATTGGCTGGAAGAGAAGGCTCCAACTTGTGACCAAGTCTCAGAAGTGAATGTGGCTGGATTGTGATTGTGACTGTCTATGGAAAGTCTCCTAGTGATGAGGATCTCTTTCACATTGATAAAAGAAGGGCTCCTGGGGAAGGGCTTAAGTTGACCTGGTGAGTTTGCCAGGGTTACCTTTACTTGCATCATAGCCTGTTCCTTGGAAGCACACAGAGCTGGCTTTCCACGTTGGCTTGTGGATGTATTGTCCATGCCAATGTCCCTGCACTTGGCATTTGTCAGGCAACAATTGCTTCAACAAACAGGGCTGGCCCCTTACTTTGCACTGGTGAGTATTGAATTTAACCCCTTCCCCACTTTCTGCATTTTAACCGGGATTTTGCCAGTTTGTAAATTAGATACAGTCAACAGCATTTCTCCTAGGTGGGAATATTTTCTTTCTATTTTCTGTTATCTTGTTTGTTTTTTCTTTATTGGTATACGGAGACTGATGCTTGTTGCAGAGAACATGATAAGATCTTTGGCATCAGGCAAATAACCTTGTTCTATCAACCCATTAGCAAGAACTGTACAAATAAAATTATTTGTAGTTATGAGCCATGGAAAGGGAGTTGCTTCAGCTTGAATACCTTGTCCCATAGTGGAGTTCAAATTCATTAGTACACTTGGATGCCCAAGCTTACCTTCTGCAGGAAGCCAGAGGTACAGACTTGCTTCACAGATGTTGTGTTGTATGTTAATAACAGTCACTTGTGCTGTCCAACTCCCCATGTGAAATTTCAATAACAGATGGATGAGGATGTGACAGTACTGAACATCTTGTTGATACAGCCATTCAAAACTATTGGTGTCATCAAATACAGTTTAACTGTCGTTGATCCTGTAATGAGATTTGACCTGTGGTTTTCATTTGCTTTGGTCCCTTTCTTGTTTTTTGGGTAGTTTAGACCTCTTATACTATGATGTCATAGTTTCAGATTTAGTCTACCTCAAATAAAAACTCTGCTCAAATGGGGGACATTAAGGGTCGGCCGTGTTAGAACAGCAAGAATTTGCTACATACAAAGATTTCCTAAAAATAATTCTACTTAATTCTGTCCCTGCGTCCGTAGCATAATGGAGGCAGGAGAAACAACATCTTTCTGATTAATTGACATGTTGATCCTTACTGCTGGTGTTTCAAATGGATTAGAGTTTTCTTCAGAGAAATAGAGAAGCTGACATTTTAATAACTTTTTTTCTGAGAACAGTGGAACTGGATCCTAGAAGAGTGGGTGGGCAGGCATTAATGGGTGCCTTGGAAGTTCTTTCAGGTTTAGCGCTCTCAAAAGAGAGACACTGGGATATGACAGAATGTTACAGCTCAGCTGTGCCTTAAGGTTTTGTTTTTGCTTAGTCTTAAAGAAGAGATATTGTTTCTAGCTTGTTACTTGGATGTCTGTCCAAAATGCTTACACATGTAAATGGCAAAACACTTGCTTTTATGTAACAGGATTTTTGTTGTAGGTGTTCCTTTAACCGCTGCAGCCATTCTAAAATGTGTTGAATAGCGTTTAATAGAAAATGCAAAGGCTCCATCCTCTGGGATGGGAAAGGAACTGTTTCAAGGAATGTGAGCCTGCTGTTGAAAACAAAAGTTCTATGCCTGCATCTCCCTCTCCAAATGATGGAGGTAATCCCATGCCTGGATGTCTTCCCCATTTGTTACAAGTAATATGAAACAGAGAAAGGAAAGAACATTTAGTGATGTTAAGACACTGGGTAAGTTGTACTCGAAGTTATGGAGTGAATATGGAAGAAATGACAGGTGATTGTTACATTTTTGATGCTGCCTTGAACAGGGTATGAACAGGGTCCAGGTTCAGAATGTAAATGATTTTTGCTGGAGGGTTTTTTCACTCATTAGATGGCTAAATGATATGAACATACAGCCAAACACTTGGTGTAGTATTTTAACTGGTTAACTTGCAGAAACTTGAAATAGAGGGTTTTGCTCCACATTCTATGCAAACTGTTACGGTCAGTGTTCCTGGTCTTTTCCTGGTGTCAAAAGCAATGCAATTGAATTCTAGGACTCTGTTGGCTAAGCGTATTCTGTGAAAAGAGCAAATTATTTGATCTATGCAGTGCAATTTACTCACTGATGTAATCCTGTTGATTACTTATGCCAGCAGAAGTGCAGCAGCTTAAAAGGGGACAGTGAATTCTCACTTGTTAACAAGCTGCTGCTTGTATCCCTTGCTGCACAGCAATGTCCATGACTGGTGAGCAGCTAGCAGCAGTCTGTCACTGCGATTTATGCACTTGTGCTGTATAACTAATTAATAGGATTCTGACCATTATGGGATAGAAGCCATACAGGGATTTTGATGTTATTGTTGTTGTTTTTAGGTGGCTATGGTCAAGAGTTTCTTCCAACAGTGTTAGACTACTTACAGATACTGTATAACTTTTATATAAGTGTTTTTTGTTTCTCTAGTTTTAATTTCCTTTATGAGTTAAGTCAGTAATTTAAATGTTTTTTGCTAGTGAGTGTACTTAGATGCTATATCAGTACATTCCCACTTGACTTCTGAAGGGTTCAGATTTTTAATAAAAAAATTCTGATAAGAAATAAATGTCTTTGTGTGATATTTTGGAGGAGGGCATGCATATGTAGCATAATATAATACCCATTGTCCCCAGGTTTTACAACAAACATATTTAACCTGCCCTTCTGCTTCGGGTTTGTCCCAAAATAATTCATCTTAGCTGTTTGTACTGTCCTGCAGTGTGCACAGTAATGTATGAGTGAGGTGTGACATTTATTTTTTAAAAACAGTGAGAAAGGCAGTGGCCCGGAAATGTGAGAACTTTTTTCTGCTCAAGTGCTGCAGTTACTTGTATATTATTTATTTGATCAATGTGCACTTGAAGCCGGGTAGGTGGTGCTCGTCAGCCATGGAAGGCAGCCCATCTAGGAGAAGGAAAACTCTGATTTCAAACCTCCACTGCCTTGTGGCTATATCCATTCATGGAAAAGGCTTCAGGAGTTAACCTAGAGACAAAATCCGGAACTGGAGTCCCGAAGGCAGTTCTTGTCATTCTGCCAACTCCTGCAACGTTGCCGGAACGTCGTATTGGCTCTTGCCTTTCCATTAGACCATTTCAGCAACGTGGAGAGGGGGGATGTGTTGCTTGGGTAGCAGCCTATCCTCCATATTACTTTACCCAGGCTTCATGCTCTGGAGGGGACACTCCTCAATTCAGAGCATGTTACCATAGTCTTTCGAGACTGAAGGATGCCTATGGTGCACTTGAAGTGAGTCCTGAAACCTGTTGATTGTTCAACCAACCCTCTGTGTGAGCTGATAAATTCGGCATGTATAACATCTCTTTTCCATTTGGCAAACTGCCTGATAATTGAAATGCTTACTACTGTAGTTTACATCCTCTGCATTTTGTTAGTACTTTAAACCTAATGGCTGAAATCCTGTTGCTTAGCTAAGAAGTCACACTAGAGTAGGCACACTGAATCACTGGGGATATAGTGCCTCAACTCCCCTGTAAGTTCCATCGATTCAAAGGGACCTACTCATTTGTGACTTTAGCAGAATAGGTTGCAATTAGCATAGGCCTATTTGAATCTACAACTCATGCAGGATTTGTTTACCATATCCCCACTAATTCATTGGACCTACTCTAGTGCACCTTGCAATTCTAAACAACAGGATTTCAACCAGTATGTGATCTTTACTCTGTTGTCCTGATCACATTAGCTGAGCAAAAATGCTTAATCTGCGATTAGCATCTTTTTGGAACAATATACAAAAATCTTGTGTGGTAATTCATATCGGGTTTTTTTTTAAATCATTTGCTGTCCTTCAAGCTTCCCACCAGCTGCTTTTTATTTTTATCGTTAAGATGTGTTGTCTCGTAGGAAAGACCAAGCCAGATCACCCATGTGGCAAAGGTCTCTAGCTCACCTTCATACAAGTAAATAGTTTAGCTTCGGGTTTAATCCTTACCTAGTGTAGAAGGGCTCAAGGAAGATTCCATATAAGATTTGTGATGTCTATTCAGCTGCTTGCCAGATATTTCTTGAATTGTTTAAGCTATAGTTTATGGCATGGGACATTGCAATTATGCTTTATGAGTTAGGAAGAAATTCATGTGGTTTAGGCACGAAGACCTACAGCACCTTGTTCCACTGCAAACATCCACAAAGGATGGGTCAGCAACTAACATGCCTCTGGTATAAGCTGCCTCTTCATTTCCCATATATAGTGATAAATTGTGGCCGGAGCCATTAGGTGTGATAGCTGTCACTCTGTGGGAGAGCAACAGGGAAAACTGCAAGCAGAATTCAGTGTATTTATTAATATAATTAAATTGGGTAGATATGCTATCAAAAGTTGTAATTCAGTATCTGTACAGATTGCTAAAAAACCTTGGAGAGGCAGCTCCTTCTAAGCACAAACAATGTATTATTCCAGTAAAAGAACATCAGTTAAGTCTGAATTGTCTTATGAAATATCTAGTTACTTAACTTCATCTACTCAGACCTATGTATAGAAGTGCTTGTAAAAAAAGATGGGTTTGGTTCTTTTGTTTCATTTTTTTTCATCAAGGTGCTATACTGTGCCCAGAAATGATGGTGTCTTCTAAACTAAGAGGCTTCCATATACTGTTCCTAATTAGAGGTAATGTCCTGAAGGCCTTAGTTTTTCAAGAACAGCAAGAACTCAGCCTCCTAAGATTTCCACCCTGAGCAATCATTGCTTATATACTGAAGCCTGTGCTTCTGTTGAATTAGAAATTTGCTCTCGCTCTCGCTCTTTGTGTGCTGTTGAATAACCCAACACCGACAGACCACAGGATGTAGTTATAATAGAGAAACAGACAACAAAGCATTCATTTGCTATCTTTGCTTATAGCACCTTGCAAGGAAGATAATGCACAGTAGCCAAAGTGATGTGACAAGAGTAGAAGGTAGTATAGGTCTTTATTGCTCTGTCTCTAACTGTCCAGAGCAGAAGGCTGTCCTGCTCTAACTCTCCTCTTTCTGAGCAATAAGGTTCTAGGAATAGCAGTGCAATTTTTAAAGTTTATTTTTGGCTCATACTTAGAAAAACTACAGCATTGGGAGGCCTATGTTTGTTTACACAGAGCATGGAGGGGAAGACAGGTACCCAAGAGTGATAGTGCTAATGCGTAAAACAGCATTCATTTGGAGCCTTTCCAGAGCTCTTCTATCATGCCAACTACTAAATGGTGACATTTCCTTTGCATGCTATATTACATCTTTCTGAATGCTTTGCTTCCAGGCACCCACGTTTGAGAATAACTTGCCGCACCCTACTGTGATAACAATAGTCTCCCGTCTTGATGCACCACTTGCTTGGAAATAAATTATTTAACAATTAATTATTTAATGTCCTGAGCGTGTTAGGAATGAACCGTTTGGCTGCTTATATAGACAATGGAAATTAAACTGCAAATCTAGTTTTAACGGCTGCATGCAGTTCCTTTTTCATTACTTCTCCACTTTTGCTTCTTTTAGGAAAGAAGCAAAAGTTGTTCTTAGTTACTCTGAGCTCTCGTAAATTTTCCTGAGGCGACATGCCAGGCAATTCACAGGGACCAATAGGAAAGTATTGTTGTCATCAGATGTATTGCAGCTAATGACAGTGAGCCTTACATTTGTCAAAACCCACCCCCTCAAGCACAGAAATTAAATTAAAGCATGTTGCAGCAAATAGGGAAAGATCCACCACACAATTGTGCTTTCTGAGGCGAAAGAAGCCATTAATTCCCACCATCCTGCTAGGTCTTACTGTGAGCTGCTATAGAGAAAGGAGACTGAGAACCAGTCGGATTTGGGTATGAAGGAGATCTTTGTGGATGATATATATATGGGCTCCCCATGATAACTCTACTACTAGTCTTTCTACACAGAGGTCCCCATTCCCCTTTAAGTTACAAACAACTTCTACCTTGTCAGATGTACCCTAGCCAGTGTTTTCTCAGCCAGCTTTTCTGCCCATCCCAACATCTCCTAAGGCCCTGTACTACATCCATGCTCCCTTGAGAATGTTCCTGCACACACTATTTGCATGGTCTAGTTCTCTTGCTTAGCACCAGGGAGGCATGCCACATGTACCAAACAGCTGGCTCAGGTGCGAGCACAGCTTTGCAGCACAGCTGCTCATAGCTTATACAAAGCATCTCCAGTAATACAGTCGGAAGCCTCCCATCTGCTGTCGCCCTGATGCTGCCAGTCCAGGCTCCTCTTGTCCTTTTGTGAGCTGTTCCCCAATGCAATAGCTGCTCCGAGATTACACCAGGGCATGCAGGAGCTCAGCAAGGCGGCAACCACACAATAAGTTAGAAGCAAATATTTCTGGGACCGTTCTAGTAGAGAGATTCCTCTTGTTGTCTCTGTTGCTGGAGCGTGGTGCCTGCCCCCTGGCCCCCACTCAGTCACTGTTGGCAAGCAGACAAAGCGGGGTGGCCTCCAGCCCTTCCAGCCGGTGGCCTCTCTTATCCACACACCAGCACTGGCCTCTCTTCTGCCCTTTGGATGCCCGACACTGGAGAGAGGAAGAGAGAGAAAAAGAGGTCAAGAGGAGATGGGGGGGAATGTCAACCAAGAGCACACCTTTCAGTAGCAAAGCCCGCTCTCCAAAATGTTTAGGGCTAGCAGCTCTTCCTGCAGGAGCCTTTACATTTCTTTACTTTCAAGTCAGAGTGAAATGTCCAGGCTCAAAAAGTCGGAAGTCCAACCCACTGTGCAAATCCAATTGAAAGAAAGTTAGCGGAAGGGATAATGCACTACTCTTGTCTTCTCGTGGACCTTCCACTGTTATAGCAATCCTTCCCCTGAACATTACCCCAAAATGCTACCAGCAGACAACAAATAATGTAGGTGGACATCTCCTTTGCTATTAACTGAGGAACACTACTTCCCCCATTTTATTAGTATTTAAAGGCACTTGTGTTGGGAGCTCTACTTTTATTATAATACAGGATACCTCCCCTCCCAAACCACATTTATCTCTCACCCAGGACACACCCACTGCTTTATCCAAGCCACTGCGTCCTGTCAAAAGGAGACATGTTAAACAGGAAGCCACAGAGATGCAAAGGGGCAGTTGTGCTTTCGCTTCCTGTAGTCCATCTCTCATGGTCTGTGAGAGAGATTTTGCCATCTCTCTCAAACATGGTAAGATTCAATTTGTTGCACCCATTGCAGAAACATAGCAGGCCAGCTAGTAATACTTACATGGCTTCAAGCTGATTTTGACTTAAAGACTATCCTCCCCAGGGTTTTCTACATACCCATATGTGGTTCACCAGTCCTGCCTTCTAGTGGTGCTCTGGGCCCATGTAACTTGCCCAAGGCTGTACAGAGCACTTCTTATGAGAGGGGTGAGGTGGGGTCAGAATTGAATTTCTGGCTCCACATTCCAATAGTCCAACTTACTAAGCAATCCCCATGTATTTTATGCTGGTTGGCAGTGACTCTCCAACATCTTGTATACAGAAAGGCCACTTCATTTTAGTTGGAAGTGCTGGGATATCTCCTTGCAGGACGTGAACTATAGGGCTAGAGAAATGGAGCAAGCAGCTTAAAGATACTAATTTATTCTGTCCTGTCCTCTGTCTAGAGCAGGAAATGGAACAAGCAGCTTAAAGATACTAATTTCTTTTATTCTGTCCTGTCCTCTGTCTAGAGCAGTGGTTCTTAACCTTGGGGTACTCAGGTGTTTTTGAACTGCAACTCCCAGAAACCCCAGTCAGGACAGCTGGTGGTGAAGGCTTCTGGGAGTTGCGGTCCAAAAACTCCTGAGTAAGCCAAGATTAAGAACCACTGGTCTAGAGGAGGCAATGTGTGCTTCTGGAAGTGCTGTTCCACCATCCCAAACCATTTGCCTGCCTTGCTCTAATATGCAACAGTGGGTAGGAGAGGAAAATAAATGTATTTGCTACTCTCTCCAGCAGAGGGATGGGGATTCTCCTTGCACAGCCATTGAATGGTCAGCGGCTGGAGGAGGTAGGGCAAAGCAGCCCACACTGGCCTGTTGCTGTAAAAAACAAACAAACAAAAAACCATGACATGTCATGACGTTAGAGTGAACCAGCCAGCCGGGAGGTGGGGGCGCACAGCCATTGAATGGTCAGCTGCTGGAGGAGGTGGGGCAAAGCAGTCCACACTAGCCTGTTGCTGCAAAAAAACAAACAAAAAAAAAACCATGTCATGACGTGAGAGTGAACCAGCCAGCCGGGAGGTGGGGGAAAGAAACAGGTGGTACCTATGGTGCTGTGCAGAGGCCTTTGTATGAAGGGGCACGACTTAATTCATGCCTGTCTTTAGTGGGTATCTTACACCCATTTAGATTCTGATTTTGGAGTTGTTGGGAGCTTCTGGTTATGGCAACACATCCCATACTCCTCCTCTTGACACCACAGCTGAAGCATCAGCCCCTCATGCATGGTTACACCCTACTTTTAAACCCAATAACTCTCCGGTTTGCCTCTGAGCAGCCTTTCCGTCTGTACCTGCTTCCGCCTGTAGAAGCCTTTGGTGTCACAATTGGGAATGAAGATGTCTTCACCGTTCAAGTAGAGTGGGGCCTTCAGCTCCTGCAAGATGGCTGTCAAATGCATGCGACAAGGAGCCTGCTGAACAGAGACCACATGAGAAAAATTAAAGGTCACCACTGGCTTGGACTGCCATGTGGTGGAGCACAGAAGTGCACCCAAGATTTAAAAGGTTTAACTTTGGACCATTTGAGGTTTGCCAGGCATGACAGGACCCAAAAACAAAAGAGCAGCCACTGTAACAAAACCAAATGGACATTTTGCTCCCTGTCCATCCCTATTTTATTATATCTCTTTTGACAGCTAGCTGTTTTTTTAGAAAACAAGAATGAACACATTTCTTGCAGATTATTATGGTAACTGTAACTTGTTACGTCTAGGCTCTCAAACCATCCTCCCAAACAGGTTGACCTGCTACACATGAGGAGGCTGTACTGTATTTGTTTTTGTAAAATATGCAGTCCCTGAAGGATTATAGTGCATGCTTTTCTAAATGCGTAGACTGGCAGTCATAGGAGCTTTCTGGCAGCAGCAGAAGAGGAAGACAAAGAGCTGTGAGCAAAGCGAGTTAAGAGGAACGGTGTGTGGAGTTCCTTAGTCTTTCAAGGCCCAGAAGCACTGCACAGGAAAGGCTGCACAGAACATAAAGTTAGAAGCCCAAGAGGACATGGGGAGGAAAAAGCAACCTGCCGATTCTCTATCAGAAGCAGAGGCTTCTCGTTGCACCCACCGTGTCAAATTCTTGTTTGGCATCGCTGCTCAGGGAGAACTGTTCTAGCTGGGCTTTGCCAACAGTGACCGCTTGCAGTGGGTCCTGGCTCTGCAAGGGGAGAGGCTCTGGAGAGGAATGCTCTGCTCCCCCATTCTCATCTAGAGGAAAGGAAAGAAACTTTGTAGTCATCTTCTGAAAGGGGTAGGGAGGTAGGGGTGGGGTGGGGTGAGGAAGACCAACTTCAGAAGAGCAGTTTGTTGAAGAATGCTTCGAAAAATGAAGCCACTGTTTTGGATGCATGTGTGGTCCTGTGCCTGACAGAGCAAGAATGCATCAATCAGTGCCCTCTCTCTCTCTCTTCCTCTCTCAGTATGTGACTCGTAACATGTCCTCTCCTCACCCCTGGCCCTGGGGGAGTGGGGGAAGGAGATCTGCTGGTGCATCAGCGACCAGTGACAGATGCCTAGGAAACCGCAGAGCATCAAGCATGCAGCTTTGTCTCCATATCTGTGATGAAGCAAAGGGGAAGGCAGGTCAGAGTCCTGGGTAAGGATTTTAACTAACCTGTTTTGCTACTCAAGGAAAGAGAGCTGCAACTCTTCTGGGAGCTGACTGGGCAAGTACATGCGCCTCCAAGTACAGCTATAAAGCTCATCTCCAAGTTTAATGGCACAGTAAAAGAAAAAAAACTTCAGCGTGCCAGCTATCAAGAGCTATGGCCTTATTATTTCATTGCATTTTTCTACTTCGCCCCTGGTGGGACCCAAGGCAACTTACAACATATTTGTATTTTTAGGGATCATGTTGGGTATGATGCCCTATCTGTATTTTTATCGGTGTTTCAATTGTGTTATTTTGGTCTCATTCTGTTCGCTGCTTGGAGGAGTGGCTCTGCCACTGGTTGGGTGGGATAAAAATGTAAACAAACAAGCATAGGTATAAAAAGAAATTCAGCTTTAAAAACCACACAAAACACTGCCATATTAAAAGGCTATTAAATAAATTATCACAATAGAACAAATGCACAGTGAATGCAGTCTAGCCCAATTAAAACGATTTAAAACCATTTAAAAACAGCAATGGGAAAACACCATGTCCCACCATTAAAAGGTGCTAATGGGTGGCCAAAGGCTTGTTTAAAAAAATGTCTTCACCTGTTACCATGTTTCCCCGAAAATAAGACAGGGTCTTATATTAATTTTTGCTCGAAAAAAAGCATTAGGGCTTGTTTTCTGGGGATGTTTTATTTTTTTCATGCACAACCATCTACATTTATTCAAACTCATGTCGTCTTCTGGTTGCTGCACAGTGGTGGAGGGCGGGGGTTCACTTAACTAGGGCTTATTTTGGGGGTAGGGCTTATATTAGGAGCATTCTGAAAAATCCTGCTAGGGCTTATTTTCAGGTTAGGCTTTATTTTCGGGGGAAACAGGGTAGCAGAAGGGATACCAAGGAAAGGGGAAGTCTGTTCTCCCTTGGAAGGGGATTCCATAGCTTGGGAGCACCACTGAGAAGGCCCTTCTCCAGAAAACCTAGGGCCCCATAGTATAACCAAATGCTTAGTCAATTGGTCAAGAACAACTTTTTCCTTCCTCACTGTTTTAGAATGCATTACCCTGGCCTGGCATTTTGCTGGATAAAGAGATTACACTTCTACCTTGTTGCAGTACTTTGGTAGGAAATGAAAGAAGTGCAGCTGCCTTTTAAGGACACCCACAAAAATTATTAGGTAGCCAATGACTGCTTGCATTCACTCAGACACACTCCAACGCATCATCGATCTAAAAGGAAAAAGAGGTGGGGGCCTAAAATTTTTTTATATCTGCCAACATGGAAGATATTCTTATTTGTTCCTAGTGATCAGACAAGTGGCTAGACACCGCAAGAATGATACATTTTATTTTAAATCTATTTTTAATTTTTTTAATAGTTCAAGCTACTCTTTATGCCATGTGGCACTCAAGCTCATCATTAACATAAATGCTTCACCCACTTGACTTTCCTGAAAGGGGACATTCAACACAATCTCCACACTTCTTATGACCCTTCCCACCTCTGGATTTAATTATAGAGAGTAAGGATTTAGCATACAAGCCATCCACAGGACTTGTGGGCCACGAATTCCAAGTGGACCTTTGCTTTTCCCCGCTGCCATGGGTGTTTTTTGACTTCTCCTCCAAATTAATATCTAGGAAGAGCTTACATTCTATTTTTGACTGCGATTTGAGACAGAAGCCACATCTCACCAGAGTCTTCACTCAGGCACTTCTCAGTGCTTCCATCCACGCTAGCTGGTTTTTCCCCTCCTGAAACTGATGTAGTTTACCCACTCAGTGCCCATCTTTCATGTGGGCACTGGCAGTGTTGTTGACTCTCACATGCTATGGAAAGCATGTCTTTCCACATAGTTTGCCCTTTATGTCTTGGTTGCCCTCCACCATTATTGGCATTGGATTCACAGAATTCTTTCCAAACATTTAGAAGATAGCTGTTAAGGGGAACAAACAGGCTTTTCCCCCAAAAACTGACTCGATGGAATTCCAATCTAGTGGTTCAGTCATTTTAAAAATATTTCAAGCTCCTCATTTATGAAGCAAACCAAGAATACCCAAATAAAAAGAGAAAAACTATTGCTATGTCTTTTTCATAATGATATCCTGCTTTTCACTTCCTCCCCCGACTTCAAGACAGTAGACACTGTTCTCCCTCTCTGCATTATACAGTGATGCCTCGCTTAACGGGCGCCCCGTTTAATGACGAAATTGCATAGCGATGAAGATTTTGCAATCGCAAAAGCGATCACATTGCAATGTTTTAAATGGAGAAAAATCGCTTTGCGATGATCGGTACCCTGTTTCGCTACAGATTATCGCAAATCGATGACTTTTTAACAGCTGATTGGCTGTTCCAAAATGGCCACCGGGTAAAAAAAAATGGCGACCCACTGTTTTCTGGGGCGGATTCCTCGCTTACCGGGCAGCGAAAAGGGCCGCCGTATGGAGGATTTTCGTTTAAAGGTGAGTCTGAAGCCCATAGGAACACATTGAAGGGGTTTCAATGCATTCCTATGGGCTTTTTAATATCGCATAGCGACGAAATCGCTTTGCAGCGATTTTTGCTGCACCGATTATCATCGCTATGCGAGGCACCACTGTATCTTCATTTAACATCAGAGCTATGCCCCCCGAGCCCAAGGTCACCCGGTGAATTTCATGGGTGAGCACGTCTCCTGAGTCATGAAACCACTTCATCCCTTCAACAAGCAAGGCTGAATATTATTTTGCTTGGAATTACTAGTGCTAGGGAGGGATGCAGTGGGAATATATCACTAAATTAAATGCCCTATGATAGGCCTTATTCTGGAAAAACTATGCCTCAGCTGTGCTTAAATCCCCACCCCACCCTTGGAAGGGAAGGGCTCTTTCCTTCATCATGTATTAATTATCTTGACTGTGTTGCAGCAAATTACAGTGACCAAAAATTGGTGTTTAAAAAACAGAACAATTAACCAGCAAAGAGCACTGGTTTTTAGGAAACGGAATCCTATACCTAACAGCTATCGATGTAAAACTTCAGTTGCCAGGATGCTAGTAAGAGTAAGACATTACACGTCTATTACATCAGTTGTATTGGTCACGAATCCACAGCCAGGCTCAGTTTAAAGTATATTAAAGGGTCTTTGAGACCAAACCATCTTGTCTTAGTTCCTGTGCATCTGCCTGAGCCTTAAAACTGGCACTGGCATGTCATTAGCTATAACGCCGCTTAGTGGGTGCTTGGGGCAGGGCCTTCTCAATGGTGGCGCTGCAGCTGTGGAAGTCTCTCACCAAACAAGCCTGAACCAGCTCCCTGTTTGTAGATGGTATCTGAAAGCCTCCCCACCGCCACCAGGAAGAATTTCATGACCAAAGCTCTCTTGAATGAATGTCCATTCCACTGCATGCTTTTGATTTGTTGTGTTATTGTATTCAGTTTTGCTTACATTTTCTTTTATGGATAATGCTAAGCAGCTTCCAAAAAAAAAAAAAAAAGCAGAATATAAGCAGTCTGGATAAATAAACATATAACATGCACTGCTCTGAGAACAGTTCTGTGGAATGGCAAGGACTCTGTTTGTGGCACCCCAAAGGTTCACACCCAGTCATATCCACGGACTGCCCTTCATACAGGAGAAGTGCAGGAAGCATCCCTGGCCTCAGCCTCTGTAAGGCTGCTAACCAGTGCCCCCAATCCTAACTGGATTTCCAGATAGCCATGGACTTCAGGTCTCAGAAGTAGTGGACAGCATGGGGATTCTGGGAGTTGTAGTCCAGCAACATCTAGGGATCCATCTCTGGGAACCACTGAAACATGTATATGTAAGCAACTATTTCAGAGGCATTGTACACTTCACAGCAAAAAATATATATGCATGCATGCACATATGCATGCACAAAATGGCTTTAGGAGTGTTGCACTGCAGTGGTTAAAGTGCAATAACTGCAGTCAAAACTCTGCTCACAACCTGAGTTTGATCCTGACAGGCTCAGGAAGCCGGCTAGAGGTTGACTTAGCCTTCCATTCTTCCGAGGTCAGTAAACTGACTACTCAGCTCATGTTGGGGAGGGGCAGGGGAATTATTAGCCTGCATAATTAAATTATAAATGACCCAGTGGGTGTTTTAACCACTGTGGGTGGTATATAAGCAGCACACTTTTGACTAAAACAGCATGAAAGAAAGCAGCAGCAAGAGTGGCTTCACTTTAGTCTTCCCTGGCTGCGGACATGACCAGGAAGAGAAAAATATTTGAAAAAATCAGCCTATTCACAGTACAGTGGGGTCTTGACTTGAGAACTTAATCTGTATTGGAAGGCAGTTCTCAAGTCAAAAAGTTCTCAGGTCAAATCTGCATTTCCCATAGGAATGCATTGAAAACCATTTGATCCGTAGCTGCTCTTTTCCGTCCATAGAAACTAATGGAAAGCTGCTATTCCACCTTTGACCACTAGAGGGAGATATTTTGTTTCTTTTTTTCTTAGGTCAAGAAAGGTTCAGGGAAGGCAGGGAAAATACAGTCCAGGCAGTCCAGTACCAGGCAGTCCGAAGACTGGCTCCCAATCCCCTCTCTAAACGCTGGGAGGAGAGAGGAAGCAGACAGGCACCCTTTTCACTGAC